ATGTGTTGCTCTCGGGTGTATGCATGATACAATGTGCGTGTTTATTCTTGTCTTTTTTGCCCCGTTTGCGAGGAGGCGGTTTTGCCGTGGAAGGTGGAGGTTGTATGGTGGCAGCGTAGCATATTTTGCTTGTTGTTTGGTGGCAGCGTTACGTCAGGAGAAAAAATTGAAAAATGTTGTATCACACATTGTCGAAAGGTTGGAAACACACAGTGCGTGCTTGTTTCTCGCCTGTGTCCCCTGCCGGGTCGACACTTCAGCGCGACCACGTCCTCTCGCGCTCCGAAAAAAACCATCGTGTGATGTAAAGATAAGGAAACCAGCGAGCTGTGTTGGAAAAGCTACCTACTCCTGTATTCTAGCAGCAGAGAGGGTCCTCGCTTCATGACTTCCTCACATGAGAGCTCGTGCACCCCCCCCCCGCCCCCCGCCCCCCGCCCCCAGCCTGTAAAATGGCTTGGTGTTTGTGTGCCGTGGCTTTACACGGGACCCCGCGCCGTTATCAAAACACACTCGTGTGATCAGAACACCACCTGCTCCGAGAGAAGAATATTTATGAGACAATGACCGACCATCCACTAGTCTGTTTTCAAGTATCATTGGATGGAGTTATGGTCACAACCAACGATGACATGATCACAAACAAACACCCCCAGCTGACGTTCTCATCCCACACTGGTGTGATTGTAACGGCGCGGGGCCCCGTTCCAAAATGACATATGGTTTGAAGCTTGGCGTCGCACTGAAGCTGCCGCCATTCATTCCGTCACTGGACGAGGCGAGCCGTCAAGACCAGGTGCCATGCCTCAGTTCGGTCACGGCCACACGAGGGTACCGCAAAGAGGGGAATGTCTGTCCTGGGATTGATTTAGTGAGCCGAGAGAAAGATCAGTCTCAGCTTCTGTCGCAGGGATTTTTGTGCAGATCACACACAAAAAAAAAACTGTCGGCATTTTTACCCCAGTAAAACCCCAATTTGCAATTGAGGGATTGGCCTACGTCGTGAGCTGAGAAAAAATCAGTCTCAGCTCTGTCGCAGGGATTTCCGTGCCATCACACAAAAAAAAATTGTCGGTTTAGTTACCGCAGCACAGAGAAACCCCAACTCGCAATCGGGGAGTAGATCGCACGGCAAGAAGGGAGATTCAACACTTGACTTGAGGCATAGAAAAGAGTGTGTCGTTTCGAATAGCCAACGTGCGTTGGGCAAGATATGACATACATGTGAACTACGTTGATGTACCGCGTTGTGTTATGAATTTCCTCCAAAATTCCTCACAGAGTCACACAGAGAGAAGCAGTCAGGATGATTCTTAGCGGTGGCCCATACGGCAGCAGCAGGACTGAGACAGAAGAAGATTTCGGGAAACCACGCACTAGGCGATGGATGGATGCACAAACAGCAGCAACAGCAGTTTTATTCGTACATCAACTAATTCCCTTGTTGACCATGCATCATGCACCATCCATTGAGCGTGCCAAGTTTGATTTCGTATTTATGTACCACATATTTCTATTTGAACAACAAAACAGGTATCTACCTACATACCTAGTGTTACTCTCTTCGCACCTAGGTAGAACGCAACTCTTTTCGCACCTATCTTAGAACGGGTCGAGAGAGCTTTGTTTTTATGCGACCGACCTCGCGCGTCGCTTCCTGTACACACGAACTACACTGCCAACACCGACAGACAAGAACAGATCGTCCCACCCATCGCGAAAAAACCGTGGAATGAATTGAGTTCAGGCGGCGAACAAAAACGAAACACGGATTTCGACCACACAGCAGTCCCTTCGGGTGGGGAGAGCACTTCCCCCCGGCGCATCTACTTTCGTGTCCAAACCTTACAACGGCAAAGGACGCCATTCACACGCCCTTGAACGGTGCAAATAATGCCTTTTTCGAGCATGCATGCAATAGCCGTCAGGACTACCGTCGAAGCTGACATGGAATCTCCTAGCCGTGCTGAGTCTCGTAGCTAGGAAGGAGGTAGACAAACGTTCTCTAGGCTGCACACACAGAGCAAGTACGTGAAGTGCGCGCATGTTTCAGACCACCGGGTTTGACACACCCATACTCGACACGGTATGACAAAAAACGCAACTCAGGCTGAATGGGCACTATGTATGACGGGACGTAACACACTCACCAAAGACACACTGGAAAAAACACAGAACGACGAGATCGGAGTTGTGTAGCTCTCCCCAGCTATTGAATACTCCCCTGACCTCAACCCCATCCCACCGCCCCTCGAAGCCACGAGCCCAGCTTCCCCACGACCGCTTGGGCGGTTCGTGTACATACGTACGTTGCTCGAGTACGCAAGCAAGTTTTTCTTCGCCCCACGGCATCAATTTTTGCAACACGAAGTGTAAACTCGTTCGTCCCCTGTGAGGCACCACAAATCTAACTCCGCCGGAGGTTGATTAATCTACTTAGTCGGTACCGCCGTGTGTGCAGCCGACTCGACTGGCGGTGGGAAAGGGCGCTTGCGCTCGTCATTTTTTCTTGCACTCCATCTTGTGTTTTTCTTTCCAGTGCGCTACCTGGCAATCTTTCGAACAATCTGCGGGGGGCGGGGGGACGCGACCAGACAAGGAACACCGACAAATAAAAATCAACCAGGACACCCAAGACGGTACAACGTGTAACGAGGGGGAAAAAAGGGGGCACCGCGACAGAGGAGAGACGTAAAACAGGCAGGCAAGGTACATACAGCATGGACGTCCAAGTGAAGGGCACGAAGCTTCCATGCTTTCAACTTTGGCAAGCCAAATCAACAACAACCGACCTAGGACCCAAAGCGGTTTCGTTGCGCGCGCGAGACAGACAGACAGACGGGCGGTGAGAGAGAGACTCACAAACGGTGGTGCGACAGCGTCCGCAGCGCTTGAAGCCCTCCTTTACGTCTCCTTGTCGACGGCCACAAGTCTCCTTCGAGCACAACACCGCCGCGTCCGCGCCCCTCTTGATGTCCGACAGCACGACGTTGAGGTGCCCTCCTGGTATTGGGCACCTATTCTTCCCCCCGGGGGGGAAAGGGGGGGGGGGGGGGGGGGGGAGCGTACTCTTAAGTTTTGCATGCCCTAGCGGTTAGACCATTGACCGACCACGCGTCCTCGAGAGGACGGAGCGTTGTTATCACAGGACCGATCACCGATGGCCAATCGTTTCTTCCTACTTTGCCACACGTGGCTCAAAAATGTCTTCCCTAGTCTATCTATCCTATCGATATCACTTCCCGCCTTTTCAACCCACTTCCTATGCCTCAGTACAGCTACCGTCCTCTAGGTGCTCTTCCATGCCTCAAACATCTCCGAGGGGGGGTCCTCATGTTCTGCACGTCTTGGTTGTAAAACCAGTGAGCACGACGGGAACGGGGGGTTGAAGAAACTCCGGGTTGTTTGCCACAAAAATATTCCTGCGGTCTTGCAGACAAGAATCGACCACGAAACGCCTTTCGTTCGGGAGCAGCTACTTGTTCATGTACCAGCACATCGCTGAGCCGATAGCACAACCAACAGAAACACAACAACACAACACACAAAGCGAAGGAACCAAGCTTTCGCGAGCCGAATTATCACAAAAATAAAGAAACCAAACAAGGCCCAAACACTAACCTGCTTCCCTCCTGAAGGCCGCACGGGCCCAGACACCCCGGACGTCGACCCAACTCCGCCGGCGGTAGCCGAAGCGGAGTCAGTTACAGCCCCAACCGTTCCCCCCGCTCCCCCGTGACCCCCATCCCCGTTACCAGCGACGCCATCTCCCCCGCCACCGCCATCCTAAACAAAAGACCGACGGGGAGGGTAGTCATGTGAGCGTATGCCGTAGTCGTTAGGCCTTTGACCTCGCATCCCTACAACGCCGGGACTGGCCGGGCTTTCGCCGGCCCATGTTACGGATGAACCCGAGACCATAGGGGGCGCACTTGGGAGCAGCGTGAAAAGGCGGGCGCGTCAAGGCATGTAGACATGAGTGGCACAATCGCACGCCACCCTTTCTGTGTTGCTGCCCGTCCGTTGAGGGGAGAAGAAAACAGAGTGGGCGCAACCTATTGGTCTCTTGAGTGAACTTCCCACCCGCCTCTTGAGTGAACAGCCTGTCCGTCTCGTGCGTGAACAGTCTATCCATCTCTTGATTGAAAGTCTATCCGTCTCGTGATAACTAGTCTATCCCGTCTCTTGAGTGAACAGTCTATCCGTCTTGTGAGGGAACAGTCTATCCGTCTCGTGAGTGAATAGACTATCTGTCTCTTTGCGTCGACAGTCTATCAGTCTCTTGAGTGAACAGTCTATCCATCTCTTACGTGAATAGTCTATCCGTCTCGTGAGCGAACAGTCTGTCCGCTTCGTGAGGGAACAGTCTATCCATCTCGTGAGTGAACAGTCTATCCGTCTCGTGACGTAACTAGTCTACCCGTCTCTTGAGTGAACAGTCTATCCGTCTCGTGAGTGAATGGTCCATCCGTCTCTTGAGTGAACAGTCTATCCCTCTCGTGAGTGAACAGTCTATCCGTCTCGTGACGTAACTAGTCTACCCGTCTCTTGAGTGAATAGTCTATCCGTCTCTTGAGTGAACAGTCTATCCGTCTCGTGAGTGAATGGTCCATCCGTCTCTTGAGTGAACAGTCTATCCCTCTCGTGAGTGAATGGTCTATCCGTCTCTTGAGTGAACAGTCTATCCCCGTCTCTTGAATGAACAGTAGTCTATCCGTCTCTTTGGCGAACAAACAGCCCATCCGTCTCTTGAGTGAACCGATAAATCGCGCATGAACTCTCCCATCACTACAGAACGTATCGCTGACGTTAACTCCAACGCACGCTAGAGGGCATCGTAGGCCAGGTCGGTTCTGTGCATGCATCATCCACCAAAACAGGAAACCCCTCAATCGCTTTGAAATTGGACCACATGGACTACACTTGGATCTGCTCAGCTTGCTCCACGTGCATGCAGACGGGCCCGCGGTCGGCTGCGTTGAAAGGGAGAACAAACAGCAACAAAACCGCACCCTCAACAGTTTTGATAAACCCTTCGATCACAGCCTATCCTTACTTTCAATTTGCTATTATATCGTGTATCTCGTATCCCTCTTCGCCTTCTTGTCTTCAGACAATTGCGAATTCATAGGCCAGTCGAATGGATCGAGTGCCCCAACCACGAAATACCTCTTCCGAAACGTGAGAGCCATCGAGTCTGATGCTTCGCACGATAAGCGACATCCGCACATTGTCTTTTGCCTCAGACACGAAGAGTCTGGGGCCGGGGGAAAGACGAAAGCACACACACCAATAATCTTCTCAACATCACCGAGAGAGAACTAGAATCTCTTCCACCGTTTTGGCTGCTGTCCTAAAAGCACAGCAGCCGTCCCCGGAAAGACGCAAGTGGACTGAACGTTTCCTACAGTTTTTGCGTGTGCGTGTGCAAGAAACACGTCTCTGGGACTTACCGCCGGTGCTTCTGAGCGGATGGCTGCCACCAGTCTCACTGCCCAGCCTCC